AGATCAGCTCATCAGAACTCACGACCAACTTCTCCAACCTTATAGCTTATGTAAGTATATATATTTGAAGCGCAAAATTTCATTGGTCCAAGCAATATAATGATACCTTGATCATAACTTAAGTCGGTTGCTGGTTCAGGCATGGAGGCTATGGGAAGACGGAAACGCCGCAGAATTGGTGGAATCATCTGTCTTAGAGAGGTGTCCTCTAGAAGAAGCTGTACGGTGCATTCATGTAGGACTCTTGTGTGTTCAAAACCATCCTGATGATCGCCCCCTAATGTCATCTGTTATATTCATGTTGGAGAACGGAAGTGCGCTGGTTCCAGCACCAAAGAAACCCGCGTATTATGCTCTAGGTAATTGTGAAGTCGGACAAGCGACAGAACAGATGGAAAAATCTATGAATGGGATAAGCATCACAACTCTAGATGGCCGTTAGATGTTTGCCAGCTTTTAGTAGAGCTAGTTGTGTACTGTGATCTATTCTGTGTGGACCTTAATGTGTCGGTTTGGACATCAGTATTATTTTCCTTATGTGCCGGTTGCTCTTATCTTTGATGTGCAAATATGCCTGCAAGAAGCTACAGCGAGCAGCATCCTAACTCCCAAGTCCTAAATCCAAGGTTGCTGGAGTTTGTCGTTAGATGCGTTTAGAAGCAAATCAAACAATTCGGGCCGCTTCAGTAGGCGGCATGGGTGACAGGAGGAGGCCGTCATGGCCAGCTTGACAGCCGCCCAACGACTAGCGGAAGTGCAGCTTGCCATGAGGTTTCCCTGTCGCCCTGTCAAGTCTTACACCAAGCTCCAATCTGAATATGTAGTAACGTTTCCTTTATGCGAGCAGCATGCTTGGAGAGTCATGAGGTACACATTGTATAGCATAGGATTAAGAAAAGGTATAAGCTTCAGTTCAAGAAGTTTAAGAAATTTGTGCTTCATACTTGAAATAATGTACTTCCGGGCATATATTGTCTGTTTTACTACTGATTGAGTACTACTGATGTCTGTTTTACTACTGATTGAGTACTACTGATGTCTGTTTTACCTGGAAGACATATATTGTCTGGAATCTGGATTGAGACTCATTGAGATTGGTGACAATTGTCATTAGTTTTGTTAATAGACAGGAGGTTTCTGTCAGCCCCCGCGCCGCCTCCTCTGAGGCGACTCGGGGACAAACCCTAATCGCCCCGACCCGCTCCTCCCTGTGCGTCCCCCCTCTCCGCCGCCGCCCGAGGTACTCACCGGCGCCGCCACGTGGTACTGGTGAAGGTGGCGGCGGGGATCCAGGCGTCTCCTCCTTGGGCGGGGAGCCTCGGATCCATGGCGGCGGCCCTGGCTGGTGGCACGCGGCGCAGCCTGGCGGCGCCGGGCCACTTCCCTGGCCATGTGGATGGCGGGGAGGTGGTGGGCTTCGGCTGCGGCGGTGGTTCCTCGCTAGATGTTGGTGGCCATGGTGATGTTCGTCCTCGACCCCGATCTACTCCGATCTGCAGCGGATCCGGCCCTTGGTGGCTTTGGTCACCGTTCTTGGGTGCTGGCCTTGCAGATCCGGTGGTTGGAAGGGTTCCGGGGGAATCTCTTGGCCGGCGTGGAGGCCACTCCGATGGCAGTGCCTTTGGGTGTTGCTTCCCTTGTTGGAGGCTTCGGAGAGGACCTCCTTCCTTCCACCCCTCCCAGGAGCTCAGGTGAAAACCTCAGACCCCCCTGTTCCAAGCGACGACGACACCACGGTGGCGTGCTCCTTCCTGAAGGCGTTGCTCGGGGGCTGCTCAAGCGGCGGTGGAAGTGGTGGCGGTTTAGTGTCGACACATGCATTCTGGTCGGCTTCATCTTGGAGGCTGCGGCGACGTAGGCGACACTCGTCTGGTGGAGCTACTGCCGATGGTCGAGGCATCGCCGACAGTCTGCGCCATCAGGCTCGGGGTGCTCAGGGGGAAACCCCAGATCTGGGTCTTCCGGATCGGATGATGATGGCGTTCTATCGCTTTCCCTTCTGGGGGCATCGTTTTGGAGCAAGTGCTGGCTGGAGGGATGGTGGAGCGATACTTCATCTCACACATTGATGGCGGCGGAGATCGATGGCATGGCGCTGTGGAGACTCGGCGTTCGATGTGCGGAGATGGGCTCGCGCAGGAGGAGGTTGCTGTCTGGCGTCATGGTGACGTCGATGGCAGAGTGGCCAGACAAGGTAGAAGCCTCAATATGATCCGAAGACCTGTGGAAGATGGCGGCGATGACACACGAGTGCGTCTGACCGGATTGTGCCCCAGACCCGGTATGTGGCTCGGTTGGGGCTTCCGAATGAGTTTCGGCTTCCGGCTTTTGATGTTAGGCTTAGGTGAGTGGTTTGGGTAGTGTCCCAGCTAGCACCCCTTCATCATATTGGATAGGAGTAGCGGCATATGTTGCCAAGATGACGGATTCAGGCACATTGTTGTAATATTTTGTACGGTCCTCGAGAATAATCAATAAAGTGACCGTATGCATCTCCCAAATACAGAGGCCGGGGGTCATCCTCCTTTTCTAAAAAAATCTGGATTGAGACTCATGGACGAAGACAACAACAACTTGGACCGTAGCACTGACCGGGCACTCCAAGTTGGCACCAGAAACTTCCTAATGAGATATCCATGGTTCAGTATATACGGTTAATGAATAGTATAAGCATCAGCTCAAGAATTGGTCATGCCACCTACTGTAAAAAAATGTTTTTCATTCTTGAAATAATGTAGTACTCTACTGTTTTAGCTCCATGAAATATACAAGTCTGGAGTCTGGACTGAGACTCGTGGATGAAGACAGCAAGGACTTTCAGCGTAGCACTAACCCTGCTGCACCCTCAAAGGAAAATTACTACAGATTCAGATTGGAGAGGGCGACAGGGGAAACCTCACGGTAAGAGGCTGCCTTGTTAGTCGAGTCTCGGACGCCGTCGCACTGACGCCAATGGCCTCTTCTAGGCGCCGTCGCCTGAAGGTGCCCTCTTAAGTCTTGTACAATGGGAGATGTTTAGAGAGATGCTTAGAAAAATAAATCGGATTTTTCTGAAGCATCGGTGCCTATTTTTACAGGAGAGACGCTTAATTAAGCATCTATTTTGTATAAATAAGCACCGGTGCTTAAGAAAAGTTTGGTTTATTTTTCTAAGCACCTTCGCTAATTAAGCACCTCCCATTGTATAAGGCCTTATCTCTCTGCATGCTTCTCCATGACTTTTGCAATGGTGAGAAAAAGACTTGTGTGCATCTGAAATTTGCGGTGAAAATACTTCTCCGGATAGATTTGATTAGGGTCGAAATAATCTCTCATAATCTTGGCATAGCCCTCCGCTCTATTATGGTTTGAGTTGCATGCGGCCGAACTGCGATCCTCTCCTCGATCGCCAAATATCATCGTTGAAGATCATCCCAACGACCATTTTGAAGTCAACGTCATCTTCTTCCTCCTCCGGTGACGAAGAGTCCTAGAAGATCATCTCTCTCAGCCTCTTCATCTTCAAACTAAATGACCAGTTGAATTCAACTAAAAAAAGAAAAAACAAGACAAAAAAGCTAAAAAAAACTCACCTAGGAAAACTGTCGAAATACTTGCAAGGCGGCGGAAGTGTAACGGCCGGCCGATGATGTTGAGCCAATACTAGCGGTCGGCAAAGCATGGAGATGACCGGCAAAGCACGACAAGGTGCCGGTGCGGCTACGAGGAAGAAGATCCAAGGCGCTTTCCAGCGACGGGGTCGATGCGGCGGCAATAGTGTTTTAGCTCGACTCTGGCAATGGCGACCGGCTCGGACTCAAGCAAAAGGGCGGCGAGGGCGAAGAGAAGCGGTGAAGGTGGTGGGTAGTCGCCGGCAGTGGGGGTGGAGGCGTAGAAACGAGGCTGCAACTTTTACTCGGCCGGGTGGAAGCCGGGTATATTTAGGAGCCGCGGTGCCGAGGAGTAAAAAAATTACTCACCTAACGGTTTCAAGAGTTCGCCTACGTGCCGGTTATAGGCGATCGGCTAGAATTGCTCTAAGACCCCTACGCAGTTGTTATCAACCTCTAGTCAGTGTAGCAAGTTCCAATGATGAGCCACCACACATGGCCCGTCATCAGATCTATTCACCAGTTAACCGTTAACAGCATATCTGGTGATTGGTGAAAGAATCAGGCACATATGGCATTCTACAGAGAACATTCAGGACAACATCTGCTCCATAACACAGGTTTAATAACATCAACAAGATCCATTGTTTTATGAGAATGCCTCGTCCCGAGCTTTATTGAATATCAGAGAGAGATATCGGTCAACACTGAAAGCAAAATAAATCTAGGAGGGTCACCATCGCAATTAAAACTAGACTTGTAATCAAAAGCATATTTATTAAGTGTGCGCCAAACGATTTGCATCCCTGGGCCAGTGTTTGAAGGAGATAGCACCTATCAAATTAGCACACTGGAAACAGCCGACCAAGATCGCCGCGTAGGGCTCTCCAGGAGTTTGAGACCTCTCTGGAGTGCAATGACTTCTACATCGCTGCATGGAAAAGAAGGTAAACCTGAACAAGGTCCAAATGCGCCTGTCAGGCCATTCAAAAGATTTAAGCAATCGTTTCTCCTGCTAACAGTAACATAGAGTAATACCAGTTTTTCACTTAAATATACAATTGTTAACCTAGCCCCAAAGAAGTACTTGTTAACTAGCCAGTACTTCGTATCTAAATTATAGCGTCAATATCCTGAGAACTATAATCAGGATAGATTATTCACTCTGCATAACACTGCATCAATGGCAAAATCGGTCCGATTTCGAGCCAGGCCCACAGGAAGAGAAGGAAGAATTAATTCAGCGAATGCCACGATAACAGCAGTACATTGCAAGAAACTGTTTTTGGCATTTTATACTTGAATACTTCAGAAGAAAGATTATTTACATCATCATATAAATAAATGTCCGAGTGAAATAAGGATATACAAAAACACATCTAACCTGTAGCTGAAATGCTTAATTACACTCTAAAGGATGACAAGGTTCATGAACTTCCTCTTTGCAAAAGCCAACCACCATTTGTTTGGAGTGCCATTAGCTCTGTATGCACAGTTGAGCAGCCTCCCGCTTGTTTCCTCCCTTATCTGCTTCAGATAGTTCCTCAACAATTCTGCATTAGAGCGGAGAAATGCTTAATTGAGGATCACAATCCATGGGAGTAAGACTATTCTTCGGTTAGATTTGGTGTCTACCAATTTATAGCTGAATTATCCTACGGCTTTATTAAAATACTACTGCTTGTTTCTCTCAAGAAGTAAATCACGTGAAATACCAAGCAAATAACTTATTACTTCTACAGAAAAGAGTTAGCTTAGTTGCTAACTTGCTATCAATAAAGCACATGCACGTGCAAATATGCATTGAATTTGATGAGAGCTATATACCTGCTTCTTCCTGGGATTCGGGAAGAGTGAAAAGTCCAGGGAAAGGAAACCCCGGTTCCCCGGGCACAGGAACAGTTTCCAACCCCAGGTTAATGATTGCCTTAGTTCCAACAGCCAGTGTCCGGCAGCTTTCTAGTCTTTTCAAGGCAATATTGATGTAAGATGTCAGATAGATAAGCAACTTGTCTGCTGGGCTTTTGACATGGAAGTTTTTGAAGAAAACATTTGCTCGGAAGAAAGTTATCGCTTCATCGACTATATCCGCTTTATCTGTAATAGCATCAACATTAGTTAGCAGTTTGGCATGGTCATGCAGCAATGGAAGTACACCATTAAGTGTGTCTGATGTTGTACCGGTACCTGAATCTGAGGCTGGGGCTGGGCCCTTGATATGAGTTTTCAGTGGAAGCAAAGGACACCCACAGGCTTTTGTGATCCCATCATCATCAGTGAAACTAGAGTGATAAACCTGTCCTCAAGGCAGAAACGTATATGGTGCTCACATATCGCTAGTTAACGTCAACCATGATCAAACTAGAACTAACAAAACTAGTATGTGAAACTAAAGCAAGCGATGGGCACATTTGATAGTTGTTTGCTACCATTCATATTACCTTCATCAAACCCCTAAACCCATGAAAGGTATTCCTAAAGGTGTAACTCTAATTGAAGTACTTTGACCCCACAAAATTTATGTCACCGTACTACCTTTTGTCCTGTTTGGAATACCTTGTTGACTTTTATAAGCAGAAGGCACCATACAACTATATGGCTTGTATGTTTGACGTGCAAATGGAAGTGTCATATAGCTTCGTCATTTGATTTGGAAATAAATCAAGTGCTATAGTTGTACTTCAATACTGAGAAAGGGTTTCCATTTGTATGACAATCAAGACTGGAGTTCTATATTTTTAGGCTTAACGTTTTGCTTCATTTCAGAAAAGTATTGTCATCTCAAGTACTGATGGCGTCAAACTAGAATTTTCTAGCTGTTGGGCTCTACTTCAACATAAGCTTCCAGGACCTTCCCAAACTTGCTCTGGTAAGTAACCACAAAATATGAACAGGGATTTTGTGATGGCTGATGAGGCATTGAGGTGCACCACATTGGTTAGTGATAGTATCGCCTTCAGTAATGAAAAACAGAGCATTCAAAATGGCACCAATCTTTAAGCGCCAACTTCTCCAACATTAAACATTCAAAATGGAACCTAATCAGACTCAGTGTCTGCCCAAATTCGGCAACAATGACGTCCAGTGAATGACAAGGTCTGGACGAAGGAGAGGGCAAGTAACTTACCATGGCTATGGAGGACCGCCAGGTACAGTGCACCGCACACAAACAGGGATCTCCACCTGTGTAGATCTGCTGTATCTGGTAGCGAGGGGCTGGAATGGAGGCCGGTCGCCGGAGAAGGAGGTTCACCCTAGCCTAGTACAACCGTGGAATCTAAAACAAATAATAAGGGGACTGAATACTGGACTAGTTTTTCAGCAGACTGCATACAGAAGCAGGAGTTGTAACAAAGCACTTACAGAAGCAGACTGGCTCTGAATAGTTTCCTCAGAAGCTGGTTAATGGCCCCTACCGGCAGCAAGCTATTCAGGACTCTGCATCAAGATAGAAGCTACGTATGTTATAGGAAAACAAGTTGGAGTTGTGTGATGATAAGAAGAAAAGCAGCAGATAACAAAGGCAAACTTGCCGGTGATAAACTGAATAACTGCAATTGCATTCACATCATCCAAGACAATCATACTGGAGGGGATCGAAATGAAATCAAGCTACAAGCCCAATATTCACCAGGATTTGTTGTGAAATGTTTTTTCCTCACGACGTCAAGCCCAAACCTCAAAGCAAAATTCGGAGCAGTTACATCATCAGATTAAAAACTAACGGATTCCCTAAAGGGCTCATTTGGCTGCAGGGGCAACGCATAGGAAGCGGTCGTCTTATGGACTCCCGGATCCACCAGCGGCAACCAAATCGAATCCCAGAGACGATGGGAATGGGATGGGATCGAATTGGACGGAGCAATGGGCAGGGACGGGTAGATCTGGACGTGAGGTCGCAACGTCTCGCCGGCTATGGGGATGGACGGGACGGAGGGTGATGGGGGGAAGGAAGGAGGTTGCGAGGTGAGGCTCCTCACCGGAGACGGCGAGCGGCGGGGTCGCTGCTGGTGCCAGGAGATGAGGCAGGCGGCGTCGCTCGTCGTAGAGGAGATCGCAGGAGGGAGACGGCGTCGGAGGAGAGCGGGTCGGGTCCGGCCGCGGCGTAGGAGGAAGAGGTCGTGGCTCGCGAGTGGGAGGCGGACAGATTTGCGTGCGTCCTTCACGGCTCCCCCGATGTCACGGCCGTACTACACTTTACCGATTGGTAGATACTCTACTCCATGTTCTTTCTACTGGTAGAATACAATGCCCGTGCGTCGTACGTAGGAATCGAATCCCGCAAGTAGACGACTGCTATAATGCAGCCCTCCATCTATAGTGCAGATCTGGCGAACTTAATTTATCATTTTTTCCCTCTTTAGATTCTATTTCTTGCTCTCCTCTCGATCCATTTTTTTTCCTTTTTAGATCTTTTTTCGTTCGAGATTTTTTCACGCAAAAATTGATGTGAACAAGAGAGGATTCGATCCTTGCATCATTAGTGAGCCAACTTAACTAGCCTACCACCTGACCTACGATTCTTT